GTCAAAGAGTCATTCAAAAATTCATAGATTTATTCAGTCAGTTAATCAATCAATACGTCAGTCAATAAGTCAGTCAGTCAGTCATTAGGTTAGTCATATCTTCTTTCAGTCATTTAGAGTTTTCATTGTTTCACGCCCGCAACAAGACGACTAACATCTTTGTCTAGTAAGGGGACTATCAAAATCTCTAGGATGAAAGACGAAATCCAAATAGGTGGTTGTTGTCGAAAATCATTTAAATGATATTGTGAGTATTATTCGTTATTATCTTTTATCCATTCTTCACGACAACAGGCTTAGTGCGGTCGTTACCCGTAAGCTCCATTTCATTTTCACCTTGCAGCTTAATCGTTCGACCTCCGTCATCTTCCCAAGCGCGTGAGTTGTAACAAAGATAGGTAATATTTTGAGACACAAGCCTGCTTAGAAGTCTCAGGAATCTCATTTGGACAGGAACAATGCTATAACCCATCTGAAATTATAGAATAAATGAGACTGTAAAGATCCTCGTCAGGGTTTTCGATAAAAGCCTGTTACGAGAGGTCTACCGCTGACCGTAACACCTTTCACCGTCGTCTGTTTAGCCTTTAAGAGGCTCTGGTGTTTGAGTTTCGCCTTTCAACTCAGTCGCTGATGACACCATCGTTAGCCACTTATGGAAAAAGTGATGGAAACTTCTTCCCCGTTAAACTATTTTGAGTTTTTCAAAAGACTATAAACACCACCAACAAAATCATTGACCTTGTGCTTACAAATTCTAAGTCGCTAGTTGCTTCGCTTATCCACTGGAATGGTTTTGCATCCGGGGCTATAATCTGCAATGAAATTGTAATTGATAATGTCAAGCCCCAAAATAAAAGTGTCCAGGAGCGTACGTACAATTTCTTAAAGGGAGGAGGGTGTGATCACGGTAACGAATCTTAGCACAGCGAAAAAAATACCGTCAAGTGCAGTATTTAGGACTAAAAGCGATTTATGATGTAAAGATTATTCGGATCCACGCACTTAGCACAATTCTTCATAATAAGGTCTGTATTTTGTTGACTTAACAAAAAGATTAACTCGCAAAGTAAGGGGAGGATGGTTAAAGGTCACCCAAAAACCCCTCTCCTCTTAGAGCCACCTGATGATGACCCCTGATGATATGGTGGCTTCTGAAGAGTCTTATGAGTCAAGTGGCCATTTCTGCCACCTCTTCCCCCTTTCCGAATGCAATGCTTGTTCATAGCAGCTTATCTATACACCGCCTCATTTATACTCTACATCCCGGGTAGAAAAGCACCGTGTGGACAACTTGTCTTGCCCAAGAACACAACACAATGAGTCAGCCGGAAATTTTTCTGACGCTTGCCAGATTTCCGGGATGGTCAGCGATCATTGAAGTTAGATAAAAAATCTCATTTCTACTAATGAGACGTCGGCGACAGTTTTAGCCTACTACCAATCCTCTTATTTCTTGGCTGAGGTACTCCCGAGTCCAAACAAAATAGCGCATGAATCCATTGAGGCAAACAATTTGGGAAGAGGGGGTGTATAGGCTTGCAGATCGACAGATTTGGGCTGATGAAGTCATGGATTGCGCTTTTTCACCAAATTGGTCAAAAAAAAAAAAGAAATGAATGAAGTGGGTATATGGCTCGAGAAAACACAAGTTCAAGACAGTGCCACTAGGGGTCTCACTTCCCTTTGTAAATTTAAAAATCAACTATACAAGAAATATATAGATCGGAGCTCCAGAGTTGATAATTTTACGATAAGCAGAAATTTTTAATTGTATTTTTTCAGCGTATTTTTGCTATTTGAATTTGAAGTTTTAGAGGACCACAATGAGAACTACTGCTTCTACCAGTAATTGTGTTATCCAATAAAGTCACTATTATTACTACTAGTCTAGTTTCTATAAAACTGTAACTTTCTCAACTGGAGAAGAAAGAAAAACTTCGAATAAAATCTGAGTTGATTTTAAGAGAAGAAACACAAATATTAACATAGATATGTCGTAAATATCTCCAATCCAGATTTTAATGAAAGAAATGACGAATCAACCAGTAGGGCCGTCATTATCACCATTGCAAACGCACGTTTCTTCGTTATCGGAAGATTTGAGACGCCGTATTTCAAAATTTCACTTCGAATCAAATAAGTTGATGGCGATGCAATACTTAAGAAGCAATCCAAAGACTTAAATAAAAAAAATTTTCCTTATTCAACGCAATGTCTTAGAAAACTGAAAATTATTTTTTAAATCACGTTTAAGATGCATATATATTTTCGTGTCGCATGACGACTCAATTGAAACTCCGCAAATCCCTCTGATTATCCCTTAAAAATTCTTTGCCGTAATTCCTCATGACTGATAATATCAGTTTTGATTAGACTTTCATCAAAAAATTGGCAATTTCGAGCAGACAGGAGATTTCATATGGCTACGCATGTGCAAACGTTGGCGCGATTAATATGGCGGTTAGACATCTTGATTGAAGGCCGGTACCGAGTTGTTTCACAGGAGTAAAAAACTACACGTCAAGATGTATGCCGGGTGGATTGTGTCAAATTTAGTAGTATTAAATTGAATGGCTTATTATTGAATGGCTCCCCAGATTGAATGGCTTATTTTCATATTGAATGTTCACTATCGAAGGGCACACTGCGCATTGAATGCTGGACCGAACGCGATAGCATGTTGTATACTCGACGCCCGGCCTCTCTCAGGTGAGACTTCTTTAAACATGGCGGTGTCACAGTGTTTTGCGCAAGGCGGAGATAGAGATTTTTAATAAACAGAGTTGCAATATTAAGTGGGTTATTTACTCAAAGAGTTTTTCACACCCCATAGATTCACTGCTGCCAAGATACTTGTCCTAACTCGTAATAAATTTCTGATAACATTGCTAAGGTCACTGAAGAAATAGGAAAATTTCCCACACACGCACATGATAAACAAGTGCCACAGTTATGATTACTTACAGTCTCAGAGCTTACTGAAAAATACAAGGGCTCGTTCATAACCTCAAACGCGAAATCCCAACAAGTGGAAAAATTCTCCTTGCGTGCGCGTCTGAAATCGATCGCCTGAATTGTTTACATGCGAAGCAACTCACATAAATAGTAATAAAGTATTATCGTTTATCTCACGATGTGGTTACTTATGATGTGAATCGCGACGTTTCGACTGATCCTGCTAGTCTTCATCAGGCGATAAGGTCGACTGGTCTCGGGTCTTGTTATAAAGCTGGATGCTCTGCTGTGATTGGTTGGTTTTTCCACAGCTGTGATTGACGCGTTTCGATCCTCGATGCCAGTGAGTTGTTCCCTGGGCGGTCCGCCGTCGTACAGCTCTCCGGTTGTTGCGTTTTTTAGTCGTGGGCATCCACGCTCCGGGAATTTTTACTCTACCGTCCCTGTTGATTTTGGTAGGCTGAAGTCTTATGAGAATTGCCTCTTCGAGCGAGGATCACGGTCAATAAACTTAGCTTCATTCCAATGCTTCAAAAAAAAAAAAAATGAACACTTTTCTTCACCAACCACAACCTCAAGAGCGAGAATTAATGACAATTTTCTGACGACTGCAAGAAATTATTTTTGGTCCACGACCAAGTCAAAACGGGATGCCATGTGACTTGCCCCAGTCTCTAGCTCCAGAGGGGAAACCGAAAACATAAGAGTTTTGGATACGGGGATACACAGCGATAAGCAGGCGCCGAGTATAAACCAGGTTCCTCGCGTTCGGCCCGGCACTCGATGCGCGGTGGGCCACTCGATAGTGAAAGTGAATCACTCAATGGTGACCCATTCGGTTTGGTGGGCCATTCAATAGCAAGCCATTCAATTTGGTGGGCCATTCGATAATAAGTCATTCGATTTGAAAGTGAGCCATTCAATTTGGTGAGGCATTCAGTTTGGTGGGCCTTTCAATTTGATACTAATCAGTTAAAACACAATCCACCCGCCATAAGGAAGTGATAAGAAATCACTGAGCGAGGCTCGTACGTCATGACCTCAAGCCAAACAATATCCTGTCCGGCTTTCCCACTCAGTCAATAAGTACATAACATGTAACTTATTGTGAGTTGTGCATACAAGCTAAGGCAGTAGAGCATTGTGCCACCTTGTGTTATTATATAGGATGTTACACGTTGGCGAAAAGATATGAGTTTTACCTTCTTGATGCTTGAACATCAAAATTATACGCTTGCCTCCGTATAATTTCTTTTTAGCTATCATATGAACGGGAAATGTTTATGGCAGAGATTGGTAAGCTCGGTTGAATTCAAATACGGGGTGTTATTAACAGCGGGCCCAAGCTCTAACTGTGAGATGATCATCTTGCGAAATAACAGTCATGGCGAAATTATAAGAGTTTGTATGGAAATATTTACGACTGCTCTTAGGAATAAAAAATACAGTCAAATTCTTAATAAAAACACCTAACCTTACTTCCATAATGCATCGCTTGCTATCTGACTGCATACTATGTTGAAAAGAACCTATTTTGGCGAGTTAGTCATTTTTAGGTTTACTACATACATAGGAAGGGCTTTTCTTACAATTTCGCCATGTCTGTTTTTTCGCAAAATAATCATCGCACAGCTGGAGCATTGGCCGCCTGTGGGTGTTATGACAAAAGACATGCTGATGACCCGCCAGCGTGTTGTTAAGGATAACAAATTTACAAGACGTGAACCGGGAGTCCATGAATTACAACTATGCGTACGGTTTGTGGATTACTTCTGTGGAACACTTTCAGTTTTTGAAGATGAGCACTCATCATTCCACATCTGACCCAGATAAACAGGTGTGTGACGTTTAGTGCTCCTATTCAGGGACGTAATTAAATCCTCATAAGTAATGTAATGACATCAATAACATTTAATGTAATGATTTGTGGGCAGGAACACAGGGGTGGTATATACCCCCCTCCCCGCCCCTCCCCGACCATTTATGTTTGTCTGTTACCTTTTACACGCCATAATAAATTTAGCGTGCATAAATTTGGCGTGGCTGCATCTGTTCGGTGAAGCCTCAAAAATGAATCGTTTGCTGTTCACTCTGACCGTTGTCGTTCTGATGGCTGCACACGGTGAGTACTGTACAACTTTGGAATTTGAAAGGTAGATTTATAAACAGGTGTATGACGTTTTGTGCTCCTATTCAGGGACGTAATTAAATCATCATAAGTAAAGTAAGCCCAACAGTGACCATACTATGCATAAATTTGGCGTGGCTGTACATGTTCGGTGAAGCACGAAGAGTTCAACTTCAACACAAGATAGGAGCCTCAAAAATGACTCGTTTGTTGTTCACTCTGATCGTTGTCGTTCTGATGGTTGCACATGGTAAGTATTGCACAACTTTGCAACTTGACAGGTAGATTTATCGCACAGGAAATGTTGTTAAATGTTGTTAATTATTATAAGCATCGCTGAATGATGCGATACTGAAACATATTAAACTGCCGCAAAATAACCGTCAAGTATTTTCGTTGGCTTCGGCCGCCAGCGTGACAGGCTTTCTTCCCGTCAACCGCACAGTAATCCTTGAAAGTGCATGTAACAGCTTTCGTTTATGTTTTGGTATGAAAATATATAATCTTAATTTGAACCAGGAGAAGAAATCCGTGTTGAAAATCATTCATTCAGTTAGTTTTCATTGTTTCCAAATGATTTCTGTGCTATGGATGGACTCTGATTTAGGCTCGACTTGATTTGTTCAGAATCATAACTCAGTCCTACCGCTCTTTTCTGTTTGTTCTTTGAAATTTTGGGGATGTATGAATGTGGTTTGGATTACCGCTTAACTCGACACTAAAGGACACTAAAGAAAATTTTATGCGAAACTATTCTATGCAAAATTGTATGCAAATTAGCTGGTGGCGCATTGAATGTGCAGTTTTATAGCAGTCGTGTAGGTCTGAATATGTATCGTTTTGCAACTAGTGAATATACTGTCGTTTTTTAACTGTATTTCCCTTCATCAATTGAGATTTCAACAGTCCAAATATCTTTTATAACATAGCGTGCGTGCTTACCCTTTAGAAGTCCTACTGAGCCATGCGTAAACAAGATGAAGTGAGAATTTTTTTTTGCAAGTTCCCCGCAGTCTGTCTTCTCTAATTGCACCGTACACAGCAGCGTAAACACTATTTTGAACAATCAAAACCCTTGCTAACTTCGGGTCTTTGACTTTTAAAACAATTTTTAGTGACATGAGTTCATTTGGCTTTGATTTTCTCCCTTTTCCCCGTAAATTTTGAGCTTTCCATTCACAGTTATCGGTTAACTGGATCAGATGTTCTCGTTCAAACCAAAGTCTAAAATGTGGCGTGTTTTTGACCAGGCAATGGGGACGTTTGTTTCCTTTTTTTTTGGTGCGTTGTGAGAATTTTGCACTCTATCCGGTACAATAACTCGCGCAGATCCTTGTTGTCGCTCTGAAAGAATTTGCTCATGCTTTTAGCTGTGCGTATATCGAGTTATGGATGCACTTCGGAAGTTTGGAGAGCACTCAAAAAGCTAGAGTTGCTCTCGGCTGCGCCTCGAGCTACTCTTACGCATTTTTCGTGCTCTCCAAACTTCCCGCGTGCATCCATAACTCGATATACGCAGGGCAAACATGAACAAATTCTTAACTACCAGTAGTATGGAGACAGTTTCAAGACCATCAACTAATACGTTTAGTGATCACAGTTTAAGTATAATTCATGTTCATAAATACAATAATCCTGTCAACAATCAAAATCCTGTGTCTAAAAAGATTCAGGACACCGATATAAATAGATTAAATAACTCTACTATAAATCGTAACAAATACTATTATAGTAACAATTTTGAGCATAATAGCGGAAAAACCGTTACACTTAAGAGACTTATCTCATGCAAAAAGTACAGTAACGTTGGATGTGTCACATTTCGGTTTTAAAAATGGAGGTGAATTGATTATTCCAGAAACAGGTTTTTCTTAGGTTTTTTTCAAAGACAGCTGCAAGGCGTCTGCAATTACTTTAAATCTGAAGCTAACAAATAAAATATCACAAACCGTTCTAGAATTGTTAATTTTGAAGATACACGGGGTCGTTGGATTTATATATCTTTGTCTCAGGTTGTCGGCTGGATATGAGCACCGATTTATTAATCATTTTTTACTTTAGACTGTAAAATTATATTTTCAAGTGATTGATTAAAATAATTGAATTCCACCCCCACCCACCTCCCAGGGTTTAAATTCATTCAATTCACTTCAATGGACATTTTGCTTTGACGTCGCATTCTCAAGCGCAAAATAAATGTTAAAAAATTTTATGAGAGCTGCATCAAAGAGTAGACACAAACAGTGGAACCTATAAAAGTGGACACCCATGGAACGCTCGCTACCTTCCGTTTTTCTATAAAAGAGTGAATGGCGCATTTGTAGTGGGTCTTTAAATCCCAGAGGGAACAGTGAAAGTAACGTGCTATTTGTACACATTTTTTTATCATTTTCTTTTTTTTTAATTTGTCAGCTTTTGCTATAAAATGTTATGTCTGCGTGGATACTGAAGAGGATTGTAAGAAGAGCAAGTTGGAAGAAAACAAAGTCAACTTTTTATACCCGTGTTTAGCTGATGAGGGCGATAGATGCTTCAGATTGTGGTATAAAAGGGAAAATTACGATGCCATGGTTGCGATTGGATGTGCTAAGCAATCATTCTGTGACGCCGAAAAGTCCCTTTGTGATATAAAGAGAGATGGTGCGGACTTCCAATGCGAGTTAAGCTGCTGTTCTGAAGACGGATGTAACGCAAGCTCGTATTTCACTGCCAACGTCATCCTGTTGGCCGTTTCCTCCGTCCTGGGCCTGGCACTGCTGAAGTAAGCCGTGGAAGGCTTTACAAGTCTACTTTTCATTTCGCTTATTGCTCGTTTAAACTTGGCGTGGTCACCTAAAGTTTAGATGCACTCAGTTTTCAGAGCAGTAGAGGCAACGGAATCTCCCGTGCACGTTTAGCACTGCTGGCAATTGTTACTACTTTTTAATCACTTTGCAAGTTTTCACTTTTTGTTTTTCCATTAAAATGTTCGAAATCTATTTTCTGTGGCTTAATTTTGTGTAATTGTATAAAAGAGCGTTCACGATCGTTTCATTGTGTAGCCCATGGTACTATTATCTTTGCTCTTTTCTTTTTCTTTCTTTCATGCATCTTCTAGGGCGCTCGTAATGGTCTAAACATGGGGACACGAGCTATTTGTCCATACACGTCTCGTCAGACGAATACATTACTTACTCAGCAATTAGCATTTTATCTGATGACCGCTGCTGTTTCTCCTTCTTCCTTTCTTTTCTCTTCTCGCCGCGCCGTGCAATGAAACTAGACTTCTTCTCTGGCCTTTTCTGCAACATCAGCCCGCTCAATCTGAGATTTAATAAATAATAACATATTTTCCAACACAGTGGACAAATAACAACTGCGGCGTTCATAGGACAAAATGGTTATCAACTAAGTTAGATCGGGCCGATCAGGAAAGTAATTGGTTCTCGGTCACAATGTATAGAACTACGTACGCTCTTCCCGTTTTTTATGACCTCAAGATTAACATTCCCCTATCTGGCCCTCCCACCCAATCGCTAATTACATATCTCTATATGATAACTGGTACTTGGTGATTTCAAAATAGTAATCTGATTGGTTGGCTATTTCGCGCTAATGAACATTATTCACACCTTGGGGCGAAAATAATGCGCTATTTTGAAACTAGTAAAAACAATCGCTAATGAGGCTGTTCAGAAAAACGCAAAACGATAACCAACGTTAGGCTAGGAGATTTTTTACGTTAGGCCTATTTTTTCAGTCTCAACCGTGGGTATATCGTCCGCATCAGCTAAATCAAGCAAGTGCGCGGAGTAGCAGAACCTCCACGAGGCTATGCTTTATCGGCATCGCTAAATTATCCTCAATTCTCAATTGCAGATTTTAATAATTTTATTTTGAAAAAAACATTTATCGGCAAATGGTACTACTGTACATAGATATACGTTAAAGTTCACACGGCAACCAGGTGGACAATCAGACATAGTTTGACGCTACTCTGGTTTGCAGATTTAATGAATGCAACCGAAGAAGTTACGATTAATAGACCCAACGTTTCGACACTACTGTCTAGTGCCTTCATCAGGGGTGATCTAAACGCTGCAACAAGAGGTCCTTTTATATGATCACTAATTAGCGACCTTTTTTTCTGACGAGGTGTAAATAGGCGTCAGGAAGCAAACTGCCATCGTCACGATCATGAGTAAAGGAGCGTGGGCGGAGTTAATATGCCAAGCCTCCAAACAAAGGCGCTAATGGTAACGCCGATTAGTGGTGATAATTTTAGAATCATCCCACCCAATTGTATGGTTGGTTAGGCATGTATGCTCCGATAAAGCTGAATTTTCCTTTTTGCAAACAAAAACCGCTTTTTGGTGCTCTTTGACCGTGTACCAAAATGACGTTTGGTCTGTCCGATGTATTCGTTGTCACAGTCATTGCAAGGAATAGAATAAATGGCGTCGGTTCGTTGTTCTTTCGTGACAGGATCCTTAGGTTTGGCGAAAATATGCCCCAAAGTCTGAAAAGGTTTTTGAGCAACTTTAACGTTGTGGCTATTCAAAATTCTCTTGATGGGTTCCGTAACACCCTGTATGTAAGGAATAACAGCAAAACCAGTCACTGGTTCCCTTTTATCAAGAGCGTTACTATTTGTAACTGGTTTTTGGCAGTTAGGAGAAAAGTTTTTGTATGAAAAGACGATGACGAGTCAACTAATAGGGCCGTCATTGCGCTGCAAACGCACGTATTTCAAAATTTCACTTCGAAATCAAATAAGTTGATGGTGATGGTGACTGTAACCATTGTAACCATAAGAAGCAATCCAAAGACTTGACCAAAAACAATTTTCATTTTCCAAGGCGATGTCTTAGAAAACTAAAAATTATTTTTTAAGTCACGTTTGTGGTGCGTATACATTTTCGTGTCGCAAGACGGCTCAATTGAAAACTCTGCAAATACCATTGATTATCCCCTAAAAATTATTTGGTGTAATTCCTCATGACTGACAATGTCAGTTTTGCCTAGAATTTCATCAAAACATCGTCAATTTCGAGCAAACAGGAGATTTCAAATGGCTGCGCATAAGCAAACGTTGGCGAGATTAATATGGCGGTTAGACATCTTGATTGAAGGCCGGTACCAAGTTGTTTCACAGGAGTAAAAAACTACATTCGTCAAGAAGTATGGCGGGTGGATTGTGTCAAACATAATAGTACCAAATTGAATGGATTATTATTGGGTGGCTCATCAAATTGAATGGCTCATTTTCAAATTGAATGGTCACTATCGAATTCGAAGGGCACACGCGCATCGAATGCTAGGCCGAACGCGAGGAGCCCGGTGTATACTCTACGCCAGCCTCTCGCGGGTGAGACTTTTTTTCAACATGGCAGTGTTACCGTGTTTTGAGCAGGGCGGAGAAGGATAGTTATAATAAATAAAGTTGCAAAATTAAGTCGGTTATTTACTGATACTTGTCCTATCCCGTGGTAAACTTCTGATAACATTGCTAAGGACACCAAAGAAGTGGGAAAGTTTCCCACACACGCACATGGTAAACAAGTGCGACAGTTGGGATTACTTGCAGACTCAGAGCTAACTGAAAAATACAAGGGCTCGTTCATTACCTCAAACGCGATCGCATGAATTCACAGTCGCCCGCACCATCCCCAATCACAAGGCAAGGTAGAACGTTACCACAGGACACTAAGATCCAAGATGGAATATGACCTTCAAAAAATGGGTCAAGAGGGTGTAATGGTGGGCAAAACAACTCCCTCCTTATAAAGAAATACCTAACCTTACCTCCACAGCACATTGCTTGCTATCTGACCGCTTACTATGTTGAAAAGAACCTATTTTGGCGAGTTAGTCATTTTTAGGTTTACTACATACATAGGAAGGGCTTTGCTTATAATTTACCCATGACTGTTATTTCGCAAAATGATCATCTCACAGCTGCAGCTTAAGCCACCTGTGGGTACTATGGCAAATTGACACGCTAATGACTCGCTGGCGCGTTGTTAAGGATCACAAATTAACAAGACGTGAACCAGGAGTCCATGAATTACAACCATGCGTACAGTTTGTGGATTACTTCTGTGAAAAACCTTCAGTTTTTGAAGATGAGCACTCATCATTCCAAATCTGACCAAGATAAACAGGTGTATGACGTTTAGTGCTCCTATTCAGGGACGTAATGACACCAAGTAACGTAATGACACCAAGTAACGTAATGACACCAATAACATTTAATTTAATGATTTGTGGGTAGGAACACAGTGGTGGTATATACCCCCCCTCCCCCACCCCCGACCATTTATGTTTGTCTATTACCTTTTATACGCCCGTAGTGACCATAATAAATTTAGCGTGCATAAATTTGGCGTGGCTGCACCTGTTCGGTGAAGCACGAGGAGTTCAACTTCAACAAAAGTTAGGAGCCTCAAAAATGAATCGTTTGCTGTTCACTCTGACCGTTGTCGTTCTGATGGCCGCACATGATAAGTACTGTACAACTTTGGAATTTGAAAGGTAGATTTATCGCACAGGAAATGTTGTGTCTTATTAAAAGCATCGCTGAATGATGCGACACTGAAACATATTAAACTGCCGCAAAATAACCGTCAAGTATTTTCGTTGGCTTCGGCCGCCAGCATGACAGGCTTTCTTCCCGTCAACCGTACAGTAATCCTTGAAAATGCATGTAACAGCTTTCGTTTATGTCTTGGTACGAAAATATATAATCTTAAGTTGAACCAGGAGTAGAAATCCGCGTTGAAAATCATTCAGGTCTCAGTTAGTTTTCATTGTTTCCAAATGATTTCTGTGCTATGGATGGATTCTGATTTAGGCTCGACTTGATTAGTTCAGAATCATAACTCAGTCCTAACGCTCTTTTCTGTTTGTTCTTTGAAATATTGGGGTTATATAAATGTGGTTTGGATTACCGCTTAACTTGATCTTCTTTAATACACTATAGAAAATTTTGTGCAAAATTATCTTATGCAACTAGTGAATATACTGTCGTTTTTGAACTGTATTTTCCTTCATCAATTGACATTTCAATAGTCCAAATATCCACTACCAGTAGTATGGAGACAGTTTCAAGACCGCAAACTGATACGTTTAGTGATCACAGCCTAAGTATAATTCATCTTCATAAATACAATAATCCTGTCAACAATTAAAATCCTTTGTCTAAAAAGATACATGACACCGATATAAATACTTTAAATAAATCTATTATAAAGCGTAGCAAATACTATTATAGATAGAAATAAGAGAACGTAAGTTTTCTCTAAATACTATTATGGTAACAATTTGGAGCACAATAATTAACGAAAAAACTGTTAAACTTATCTCATGCAAACAGTACAGTAACGTCGGATGCGTCACATTTCGGTTTTAAAAATGGAGGTGAATTGATTATTCCAGAAACAGGTTTATATCAGATTTTTTTCAAAGAAAGCTCCAAGGCGTCTGAAATTACTTTAAATTTGAAGCTAACAAATAAAAATGTTACAAACCGTTCTAGAATTGTTAATTTTGAAGATACACGGGGTCGTTGGAGTGATATATCTATGTCTCAAGTTGTCGGCTTAAAAAAAGGGAACATCTATAACTCTAGATTTGAGTATCGGTTTGCTAGACGGAGAAATTTATTCATCATTTTTTACTATGAAACTATAAAATTATAATCTTCAACTGAATGATTAAAATGATTGAATTCCTCCCCCACTCACCTCCTAGGGTTTTAATTCATTCAATTCACATTAGTGGACATTTTGCTTTGACGTCGCATTCTCAAGCGTAAGATAAATGTTCAAAAATTTTATGAGAGCTGCATCAAAGAGTACACACAAATAGTAGAATCTATAAGTGGACACCCATGCAACGCTCGCTACTTTCTGCTTGCTTTTAAAGAGTGAATAGTGCATTTGTTGTAGTTCTTTAAACCCCAGAGAGAACAGTGTAAGTAACGTGTTATCTGTACAATTTTTTTTTAATCATTTTCTTTTTTAATTCGTCAGCTTTTGCTTTAAAATGTTATGTCTGCAAGGGTACTGAAGACGATTGTAAGAAGAGCAAGTTGGAAAAATACAAAGCCAACTTTTTAAAAACGTGTTTTATCGGCAATAAATGCGTCAGATCTTGGTCTAAAAGCAAAGATGACGATGCCTTGGTTTCGAGTGGATGCACTTACCAAACGCTCTGTGACGCCGAAAAGTCCGCTTGTGATAAATTGAAGGATACTTTGAAGGACTACCATTGTGCGATTGGCTGCTGTTCTGAAGACGGATGTAACGCAAGCTCCCGTTTAGCTGCCAACATCATCCTGTTGGCTGTTTACTCTGTCCTGGGCTTAGCACTACTGAAGTAAGCCGTGGAAGGCTTTACAAGTCTACTTTTCATTTCTCTTATTGCCCGTTTAAACTTATTTTATACTCAGTTGGCGTGGTCACCTAAAGTTTTAGATGCACTCAGTTTTCAGAACAGTTGGAGCAGCGGAATCTCCCGTGCACGTTTAGCACTGCTGGCAATTGTTACTACTTTTTAATCGTTTTGCTGATTTTCATTTTTTGTTTTTCATTAATATTTTCGAAATTTATTTTCTGTGGCCTAATTTTGTGTGACTGAATAAAAGGGCGTTCACGATCTTTTCATTCTGAAGCCCATGGTACTATTATCTTTGTTCTTTTCTATTTCTTTCTCACGTGCATCTTCTAGGGCGCTCGTAATGGCCTGGACACGAGCTGTTTGTCCACACACGCCTTGTCAGACGAATACATCACTTACTCAGCTATTAGCATTTTATCTGATGATCGCCGCTGTTTCTCCTTCTTCCTTTCTTTTCTCTTCTCGCCGTGCCATGCGATGAAACAAGACTTCTTCTCAAGTCCTTTCTGCACCATCGGCCTCAATCTGAGATTTAATGATTACATATTTTTCAAGAAACAAAGTGGACAAATAGCAACTGCGGCGTTCATATGACAAAATGGTTATCAACTTAGTTAGATCGGGCCGATCAGGAAAGTAATTGGTTCTCGGTCATAATGTATAGACCTACGTACGCACTGCCCGTTTTTCATGACCTCAAGCTTAACATTCCCCTGTTTGGCCCTCCCACCCAATCGCTAACTGCATATCTCTATATGATAATTGGTACTTGGTGATTTCAAAAATTGAATCTAATTGGTTGGCTATTTTTCGCTAATGAACCTTATTCACCCCTTGGGGCGAAAATAATGCGCTCTTTTAAAACTAGTGAAAACAATAGCTGGGATTAACTCGTATTTCACTAATGAGGCTGTTAGGCTAAGAGATTTCCTATATAAGGCCTATTTTTTCAGTCTCAGTCGTGGGTATATCGTCTGCATCAGCTAAATCAAGCAAGTGCGCGCAGTAGCAAAACCTTCACGAGGCTATGCTTTATCGGCATAGCTAAACTGTCCTTGTTTCTCAATTCCATATTTTTAATGATTTTATTTTGAAAAAAAACTTTAAAGACAAGTGGTACTACTGTACATAGATATACATCCAACGGTATTTCCTTACGTCCAAAGATCTTCCAAAATAAGAAACACAAAGTGAGTTGTTCCCTTGACGGTCCGTTGTCGTGCAGCTCTCCGGTTGTTGTTTTTTTTGGTCGTGGACATCCACGCTTCAGGAATTTCCATTCTACTGTCCCTGTTGATTTTGTTAGGGTGAAGTGTTGTGAGATTGCCTCTTTGACCCTACGAGTGTACCAGCGAGGATCACGATCAATAGACTTAACTTCAATCCAATGCTTTAAAAAAAAAAAAAAAGACACTTTTCTTCACCTACCACAACCTCAAGTGCGAGAATTAACTTTGGATGAAAATTTTCTGTCGAATGCAAGAATCTATTTTTGGTCCACGACCAAGTCAAAAGAGGGTGCCATGTGACTTACCCCACTCTCTGGCTAACTCCAGAGGGGAAACCGAAAACACAAGAGTTTTGAGTACGGGAATACACATAACACGGGAATACCCTAAACACTGTGACACTACCAAATTTTAAAAAAATCTCGTCTGCGATAGGCTGGCGCCGAGTACAAACCAGGCTCCTCGTGTTCGGCTCGGCATTCAATGCGCGGTGGGCCCCTAGATAGTAAGAGTGAATCATTCAATACTGAATGATTCGGTTTTTTGAGCCATTAGATAATGAGTCATTCAATTCGAAAGGGAGCCATTCAGTTCGGTGAGCCATTCAATTTGGTCAGGAATTCAGTTTGGTGAGCCTTTCAATTTGTTACTACTCAACTGAAACAATCCACTCGCCATAGGGAAGTGATAAGCAGTCACTGAGCGAGGCTCGTACGCCATGACCTCAAGCCAAATATTATCCTGTCCAGCTTTTCCACTGAGTCAATATGTACATAACATGTAACTTGTTATGAGTTGTGCATACAAGTTGAGGCAGTAAAGCATTGTGCTACCTTGTGTTATTATAGCGGATGTTCCACTTTGGCGAAAAGATATGAGTTTTACCTTCTTGGTGCTTGAACATCAAAATTATACGCTTGCCTCCGTATAATTTCTTTTCAGTTATTATGTGAACGAGAAATGTTTATGGCAGAGATTGGTAAGCTCGGTTGAATTCAAATACTGGGTGTTATTAACAGCGGGCCCAAGCTCCAACTGTGAGATGATCATCTTGCGAAATAACAGTCATGGCGAAATTATAAAAGTTTGTATGGAAATATTTACGACTGCTCTTAGGAATAAAAATACAGTCAAATTCTCTATAAAAATACCTAACCTTACTTCCACAGTGCATCGCTTGCTATTATACCGCTTACTTATTTGAAAAGAACCTATTTTGGCGAGTTATTCATTTTTAGGTTTACTACATACATAGGAAGGGCTTTTCTTGTAATTTCGCCATGATCATCTCACAGCTGGAGCTTAAATGATTGGTGGACTAGGAACACAGGGGTGGTATATGCCCCCCCGCTGACCATTTATATTTGTCTCTTAGCTTTTTAACTATGCATAAATTTGGCGTGGCTGTACATGTTCGGTGAAGCACGAAGAGTTCAACTTCGACGCAAATAGGAGCCTCAAAAATGAATCGTTTGCTGTTCACTCTGGCCGTTGTCGTTCTGATGGCTGCACATGGTAAGTACTGTTTAACTTTGGAATTTGAAAGGTAGATTTATCGCACAGGGAATGTTGTGTCTTGTTAAAAGCATCGCTGAATGATGCGACATTGAAACATATTAAACGGCCGCCAACTAACCGTCAAGTATTTTCGTTGGCTTCGGCCGCCAGCATGACAGGCTTTCTTCCCGTCAACCGTACAGTAATCCTTGAAAATGCATGTAACAGCTTTCGTTTATGTTTTAGTATGAAAATATATAATCTTAAGTTGAACTAGGAGAAGAAATCCGCGTTGAAAATCATTCAGGTCTCAGTTAGTTTTGATTGTTTCCAAATGATTTCTGTGCTATGGATGGACTCTGATTTAGGCTCGACTTGATTTGTTCAGAATCATAACTCAGTCCTACCGCTCTTTTCTGTTTGTTCTTTGAAATTTTGGGGATGTATGAATATGGTTTGGATTACCGCTTAACTTGATCTTCTTTAGGACACTAAAGAAAATTTTATGCGAAATTATTTTATGCAAAATTGTATGCATATTAGCTGGTGGCGCATTGAAAGTGCAGTTTTATAGCAGTCGTGTAGGTCTGAATATGTATCTTTTTGCAACTTGTGAATATACTGTCGTTTTTGAACTGTATTTTCCTTCATCAATTGAGATTTCAACAGTCCAAATATCTTTTATAACATAGCGCGCGTGCTTGCCCTATAGAAGTCCTACTGAGCCACGCGTAAACAAGATGAAGTGAGAATATTTTTGCAAGTTCTCCGCAGTCTGTCTCCTCCAATTGCACAGTGCACAGAAGCGTAAACATTATTTTGAACAATCAAAACCCTTGCTAACCGCTCTTTTCTGTTTGTTCTTTGAAATATTGGGGATATATGAATGTGGTTTGGATTACCGCTTAACTCGATCTTCTTTAATACACTATAGAAAATTTTTATACAAAATTATTTTATGCAAAATTGTATGCAAATTAGCCGGTGGCGCATTGAGTGTGCAGTTTTACAGCAGTCGTGTAGGTCTGAATATGTACCCTCTTGCAACTAGTAAGTATATTGTCGTATTTGAACTGTATGTTCCTTCTTTAATTGACATTTCAACAGTCCAAATATCTACTACAAGTAGTATGGAGACAGTTTCAAGACCATCAACTAATACGTTTAGTGATCACAGCCTAAGTATAATTCATCTTCCTAAACTGACAATAATCCCGTCAACATCTAAAATCCTGTGTCTAAAAATATACATTACGCCAATATAAATAGATTAAATAACTATATTATAATTCGTAGCAAATACTATTATAGATAGAAATAAGAGAGATGGTAAGTTTTCTCTAAATACTATTATGGTAACAATTTGGAGCACAATAATTAACGAAAAAACCGTTAAACTTATCTCATGCAAACAGTAAAATAACGTCGGCTACGTCACATTTCGGTTTTAAAAGTGGAGGTGAATTGATTATTCCAGAAACAATTTTTTATCAGATTCTTTTCAAAGACAGCCCCAAGGCGTCTGAAATTACTTTAAATTTGAAGCTAACAAATAAAAATATTGCAAACCGTTCTAGAATTGTCAATTTTGAAGATACACGGGGTCGTTGGATTGATATATCTATGTCTCAAGTTGTCGGCTTACCAAAGGGAGCATCCAGAGCACTAGGTTTGAGTACCTGTTTGCTAGACGTGGAAATTTATCCATCATTTTTGATTATGAAACTATAAAGTTATAATTTTCAACTGATTGATTAAAATAATTGAATTCCTCCCCCACCCACCTCCCAGGGTTTACATTCATTCAATTCTCTTCAATGGACATTTTGCTTTGACGTCGCATTCTCAAGCGCAAAATAAATGTTCAAAAATTTTATGAAAGCTGCATCAAAGAGTAGACACAAACAGTGGAATCTATAAAAGTGAACACTCATGGAACGCATGCTGCTTTCCGCTTGCTATAAAAGAGTGAATTGCGCATTTGTGGTGGGCCTTTTAACCCCAGAGAGAACAGTGTAAGTAACGTGCTATCTGTACACATTTTTTTATCATTTTCTTTTCTTTAATTCGTCAGCTTTTGCTTTAAAATGTTATGTCTGCGTGAATACTGAAGACGGTTGTAGGAAGAGCAAGCTGGAAGAAAACAAAGTCAACTTTTTATACACGTGTTCAGCTGACGACGGCGATAGATGCTTCAGATCTTGGTATAAAAGGAAAAATTACGATGCCATGGTTGCGATTGGATGTGCTAAGCAATCGTTCTGTGACACCCTAAAGTCCGCTTGTGATATAGCGAAAGATGATCCGGACTACCAATGCGAGGTTAGCTGCTGTTCTGAGGATGGATGTAACGCAAGCTCATATTTCACTGCCAACATCATCCTGTTTGCCGTTTCCTCTTTCCTAGGCCTAGCACTGCTGAAGTAAGCAGTAAGCCGTGGAAGGCTTTACAAGTCTACTTTTCATTTCGCTTATTGCTCGTTTAAACTTATTTTATACTTAGTCGGCGTGGTCACCTAAAGTTTTAGATGCACTCAGTTTTCAGAACAGTTAGGGCAGCGGAATCTCTCGTGCACGTTTAGCACTGCTGGCTATTATTACTACTTTTTAATCACTTTGCTAGTTTTCACTTTTTGTTTTTCCATTAAAATGTTCGTAATCTATTTTCTGTGGCTTAATTTTTTGTTATTGAATAAAAGTGCGTTCACGTTCGTTTCATTCTGTAGCCCATGGTACTATTATCTTGGTTCCTTTCTTTTTCTTTCTCACGTGCATCTTCCAAGGCGCTCGTAATGGCCTGGACACGAGCTGTTTACTTACTCAGCAATTTGCATTTTATCCGATGACCGCCGCTGTTTCTCCTTCTCCAAAGTGCTCGACGAGTTAATACCCAAATCGACAAATATTACATAAAATCATTTTCGTATTTTAAATGCGCTAATGTCAGCTTTATTTATTTATGTCAATAATCTCAATATTTTCAAAAACAAGAAAAGTTTATTTTGTTATCGTTTCGTCATTCAATATACGTTAATGTGATTTTTCATATCTTGCTTTTTGACCCTTCTTATTATTTGATGTGTTTTTTTTATTCATTTTTACGGTTCTATTTTTTAAATGAATGAGTTATCAAATTGACTTTCACTCCCTTTTCTTTTCATACTATTACCGAGGCGAAAAATGTTCGTTGAGTTTGGTTTTCATAGACGATTAGCGATTTCACAGTTTCTGGATCGATTGCCTGTCGCTGACCATCCCGATTGCCTGGGATGGTCAGCAACATCTCCGCAAACTCGGGAGCGTTTCTATTTTTCTAACGCTTGCCAGATTTCCGGGATGGTCAGCGATTACTGAAGTTGTATGAAAACTCTCATTTCTACTAATGAGACGTCAGCGACAGTTTTAGCCTACTACCAATCCTCTTATTTCTTGGCTAAGGTACCACCGAGTCCCAATAAAATAGCGTATGAATCCACCAAGGCAAACAAGTGGGGAAAGGGGTTTTATAGGTTTGCAGATTGACGGATTTGGGATGATGAAGTCATGGATTGCGCTTTTTCGCCAAATTTGATAGAAAAAAATAAACAAATGAATGAAGCGGATATATGGCTCGAAAGAACACGAGTTCAGTTTCTATGGTGCTGTAACTTTCTCAACCGGAGAAGAAAGAAAAACTTCTGATGAAATATGCCTTCAAATCAAGAAAAGAAACACAAAAATTAACAAATATATGTCGTAAATATCTACAATCCAGATTTTAATGAAAAAAATGACGGATCAACTAATAGGGCTGTCATTGCGCTGCAAACGCACGTTTCTCCGCCATCGGAAGATTTGAGACACCGTATTTCAAAATTTCACTTCGAAATCAAATAAGTTGATGGTGATGCAATACTTATCGACTGTAGCCATAAGAAGTAATCCAAAGACTTGACTAAAAACAATTTTCATTATTCAAAGCGATATCTTAGAAAAATAAAAATTATTTTTCAAGTCACGTTTGTGATGCCTATACATTTTCGTGTCGCAATACGGCTCAAATGGAAACTCCGCAAATACCATTGATTTCCCCTAAAAATTATTTGGTGTAATTCCTCATGACTTACAATATCAGTTTTGCCTAGAACTTCATCAAAACATCGTCAATTTCGAGCAAACAGGAGATTTTAAATGGCTGCGCATGTGCAAACGTTGGCGATATTAAAATGGCCTTCCCGTTCCGATTTACAATTCCTCCGGCCTCATTAGATCCCTCAGTTCCTCGGCCAGGACCTTACCTATTTCATGGTGGCGGTATGCAGAACCCGCATTACCCGCTTTTGAGCACAAATGCTGTACAATTTATGTCAGCCGCATCTCTCCGCAGCACATCATCTACACCCGCATCTTCCACAAGTAGCGGCGAAAGCAGCGAAAACAGTCCGACCGAAGGATCTGTTAACCGAAATCAATGTCCCAATTGGTCGGACGCTGAGACAAGATTTCTTTTGGAAATATGGAGGGACAGTTTCCCTATTAGTAGAAGAAGAAACAGTGGCGCATGGGACACCATTGCCAAAAAGTTAAACAACATCCTGAAAGAGCAAAAAATTTCAAGCTTTCGTACTGGCGTTCAGTGCAAAGCCCGAATAAAATACCTTCAAGATGAATATAAAAGGGTGAAAGACCATAACTCCCGAAGCGGAAACGACCGAGATCCCACGCAGAGTATTTAGTTGATTCCGTCAACCCAGTTCCCAAGCAGGTTCCACGCAATTGCCGAAATTCAAAATGGTCGTCGCTGACGTGACATTTGGCACATTCCGCTAGTGCCTTCGTCACAAATCAACTCATCTGGATATCACTCAATCAAGGGGCGAACTCGACTTGATGGGGTCGAACTCGAAAAGTGTGGGGGCGAACACGGCATAAGGTGGGGGCGAACTCGATAGGGGGCGAACGCGGTGCAATTCAACCTTTGAATACTTCGAAGAAATTGACGAAGTTTTGGGCTGCAAGCCAAACATTACACCAAAGCGCGTACTTGAATGTGGCCTGGCCGCCGATGATACCAGTGCTAAAACGGGTGACGGGGAAGATTCACCGAACGCCGGTCCGTCAATCCACGAGAGTGATGAGGATCAACTGGAATGGACCAGGCCATAAACGTGCGAAAGCAAGCAAAGGGAAAAAGCCCGCCGCAAATAAATCCAAGGCCACATCATCTGCTGAGACAGGCGATTTGGTGGAGTTCCTAGAGAAAAGTCAAACCAAGGACCATGAGTTTTTTGAGCACCTCGCCGAGAGAGAGGCAGAACGAGAACTGAAAAGTCAGAAACTAATGTTTGATGCCGTGAGGGACGTTGCAAGAATTTTCAAAGCGGACACTTAGGAATGAGAACTCTGGACATAAATGTAAGATTTTATACATCATGTACATGGATATTTATTGCTGTTTTCGTTGTTTTATGGTTATTTTATAGATCATTTTTGTTTTGCAGTTATCGTTACCATTTAACTTGAACTTGATGAGAACTCTGGACATAAATGTAAGATTTTGTACATCATGTACAGGGATATTTATTGCTGTTATTGTTGTTTTATCGTTATTTTATAGATCATTTTTGTTTTGCAGTTATCGTTACTGTTTAACTTGATTAAAGTGAACTATGGATTCACCATTTGGCTACTTAAATCCATATTCCAAATAATTCAAGGACATCAAAAAAGTCCCAATTGAAAATTTTACAGTGTCATCCATTTTTTAAAGGAATTTAAAGACAAAGAATAAGTGAAATGTAAATGAAGGAGTTCATATTATTAAAGCTTCAGTACAAAGTGTCTTTTATAGTGTTCCTTAGTCTTGCACCATCCGCATTAATATCATGGCCTGGGAGGGGAACTCCGAGAAACCCATCCTCGTCATTGACGACATCAATTTCGGTGCCATCATTGACCTCTAGGCATATGTTGTGTAGAATACAGCAGGTAATAATTGTAGCGGGTACTTTGTCCACTGCTTCATCCAGCTTATCCAGTAGACACCGCCACCTCCCTTTTAACAGTCCAAATGCCTGCTCAACAACTGCCCTTGCGCTGCTCAGGGATTTATTAAAATCTCTCTGCCGGTCGGTCTGGGCTCTGGTCTGAGGGAAAGGTTTCATGCACCAGGTCGTCAGTTTGTAAGCTTGGTCAGCAACTATAAGTGGCTTAGCCTGCATACCGCCTATCCGACGCAATGGGGAATGCAAAATATCGCCGTATTCTATTGCTGTGAGTAGGGAGCTCATTCGTAGCACGCGAGCATCGTGAATACTCCCTGCATAGCCGGTAATCACGTGCAAGAACTTTCTATTAGCATCAGCAACACCTTGAAAAACAATGCTATGAAAGCTTTTTCGATTTACGTACTCGTTTGGTTCTTCTTTCGGGGCTTTAATTGGTATATGAGACCCATCAAGTGTTCCTACAACCTGAGGGAAGTGACTGATGTCTTGAAATTTCTGGATTGCTTGCCTTGTTTCGGCCTCAGCCTTAGGAAATTTGATGAAATCATTAGCTCTTCTCATCAAGGCAGAGCAGAATTCGTCCTTGACATTCATGGCAGTACATCGGCCGATCCCAAACGTTAATCCCACGGTTCTATACGAAATTCCAGTAGTTAACCTCCACAGAGCAACAGCCACTCGCTTCTCTACGGTGATTGCTCCACGAAGAATTGTATTCTGCCGCATTAACTGAGGGCCAACGAGACCACAAATGTGTTGGAATGTATCCCTGCTTACCCTGAAGTGCTCTCGCCATAGATGATCTTGATATCGATTAAAAGGAGCTGTTCAAACCAAAACTGTGGTCTTGGATAAACCCACACTGTCTTGTGGTTACGGCGATAGCGAGTGTTTTGGATTGTCCGGATTACCACAATCCGTCGCGTCCTCTCCATTCCTCGAGACATTAGTCGCATCCTCTGAAAGAAACCGTCGTCTCCTTCGAAGAAACATGGCGAGAATCAGCACAAGAGAAGTCATTAAAAATGCTTCGTCTCCCGCCCCCCTCCCCCCGACCATTTATGTTTGTCTGTTACCTTTTATACGCCCGTAGTGACCATAATAAATTTAGCGTGCATAAATTTAGCGTGGTTGCACCTGTTCGGTGAAGTACGAGGAGTTCAACTTCAACACAAAAAGGAGCCTCAAAAATGAATTGTTTGCTGTTCACTCTGACCATTGTCGTTCTGATGGCTGCACGCGGTGAGTACTGTACAACTTTGGAATTTGAAAGGTAGATTTATCGCACAGGAAATGTTGTGTCTTATTATAAGCATCTCTGAATGATGCGACACTGAAACATATTAAACTGTCGCCAAATAACTGTCAAGTATTTTCGTTGGCTTCGGCCGCCAGCATGACAGGCTTTCTTCCCGTCAACCGTACAGTAATCCTTGAAAATGCATGTAACAGCTTTCGTTTACGTTTTGGTATGAAAATATATAATCTTAAGTTGAACCAGGAGAAGAAATCCGCGTTGAAAATCATTCAGGTCTCAGTTAGTTTTCATTGTTTCCAAATGATTTCAGTGCTATGGATGGATTCTGGTTTAGGCTCGACTTGATTAGTTCAGAATCATAACTCAGTCCTAACGCTCTTTTCTGTTTGTTCTTTGAAATTTTGGGGATATATGAATGTGGTTTGGATTACCGCTTAACTTGACACTAAAGGACACTAAAGAAAATTTTATGCGAAATTATTTTATGCAAAATTGTATGCAAATTAGCTGGTGGCGCATTGAATGTGCCGTTTTATAGCAGTCGTGCAGGTCTGAATATGTATCTTTTTGCAACTTGTGAATATACTGTCGTTTTTGAACTGTATTTTCCTTCATCAATTGAGATTTCAACAGTTCAAATATCTTTTATAACATAGCGCGCGTGCTTGCCCTATAGAAGTCCTACTGAGCCGTGCGTAAACAAGATGAAGTGAGAATTTTTTTTTGCAAGTTCCCCGCAGTCTGTCTTCTCCAATTGCACCGTGCACAGAAGCGTAAACATTATTTTGAACAATCAAAACCCTTGCTAACTTCGGGTCTTTGACTTTTAAAACAATTTTTAGTGACACAAGTTCATTTGGCTTTGATTTTCCCCATTTTCCCCGTAAATTTTGAGCTTTCCATTCACAGTTATCGGTTAACTGGATCAGATGATCTCGCTCAAACCAAAGTCTAAAATGTGGCGTGTTTTTGACCAGCCAATAGGGAAGTTTGTTTCCTTTTTTTTTAGTGCGTTGTGAGAATTTTGCACTCTATCCGGTACAATAACTCGCGCAGATCCTTGTTGTCGCTCTGAAAGAATTTGCTCATGCTGTTAGCTGTGCGTATATCGAGTTATGGATGCACTTCGGAAGTTTGGAGAGCACTCAAAAAGCTAGAGTTGCTCTCGGCTGCGGCTCGAGCTACTCTTGCGCATTTTTCGTGCCAAACTTCCCGCGTGCATCCATAACTCGATATACGACGGGCAAACAAGAACAAATTCTTAACTACCAATAGTATGGAGACAGTTTCAAGACCATCAACTAATACGTTTAGTGATCACAGTTTAAGTATATTTCATGTTCATAAATACAATAATCCTGTCAACAATCAAAATCCTGTGTCTAAAAAGATTCAGGACACCGATATAAATAGATTAAATAACTCTATTATAAATCGTAACAAATACTATTATAATAACAATTTTGAGCATAATAACGAAAACACCGTTACACTTAAGAGACTTATCTCATGCAAAAAGTACAGTAACGTTGGATGTGTCACATTTCGGTTTTAAAAAATGGAAGTGAATTGATTATTCCAGAAACAGGCTTTTATTAGGTTTTTTTCAAAGACAGCCGCAAGGCGTCGGCAATTACTTTAAATTTGAAGCTAACAAATAAAAATGTTACGAACCGTTCTAGAATTGTTAATTTTGAAGATACACGGGGTCGTTGGATTGATATATCTATGTCTCAAGTTGTCGGCTTACCAAAGGGAGCATCCGTAACGCTGGATATGAGCACCGATTTATTCATCATTTTTGATTTTGAAACTCTAAAATTATATTTTTCAACTGATTGATTAAAATAATTGAATTCCTCCCCCACCCACCTCCCAGGGTTTACATTCATTCAATTCACTTCAATGGACATTTTGCTTTGACGTCGCAATCTCAAGCGCAAGATGAATGTTAAAAAATTTTATGAGAGCTGCATCAAAGAGTACACACAAACAGTGGAATCTATAAAAGTGGACACCCATGGAACGCTCGCTACTTTCCGCTTGCTATAAAAGATTGAATAGCGCATTTGTAGTGAGTCTTTAAATCTCAGAGAGAACAATGTAAGTAGCGTGCATCCCCATGAAATTTGCAAGGCTGTGGTCCCTTTTGAGGACTGATAACCATTTTCCAGTAGCCACGAATGTTTTGCCGTTATCGCTAACAATGGTCTGGGAACATCCTCGTCTGGCAATAAATTCCTTTAAGGCTCTCTGAAATTCTGTGGCGGACAGATTGCGACATAGCTTCAAATGGACCGCTCTGGTGCTAGCACAAGTCAACAGTGCGATGTCTGCTTTTGCTGTACTTAACTTTGTAATCTTATAGTACACTGGCCCTGCAAAATCTACTCCCGTCACGACAAAGGGGTCTGATAGTTCGGTTCTGAAAAGTGGCAATCTAGACTCCAAGATAGGTGAAGTGGACAATGGTTTCCACCGATAGCGTTTGCAAACCGTTCAGTCTCGTATCTCCATCCTCATCCTTCTTCAGTGCAACATCTGACTTGACATCCTGAGATGCCTGGGCCTGGTGAATCCAGTACTTCTCTGCTGCTTGTGTTTCTTCTGTTGTCAATGGTCCCTTCTGTTTCTCTTTCTTCTTTTAGTTACCGATAAATCGTCTCACAATGGCAGTTATCCTCAGAAGCTTCTGATAGGATGCATACTTGTTAAGAAGCTGATCCACAATTGGATTTTTCTCTTCTTTTTTGGCAAGAAGCTGTTTCTCGAACTTAAGCTTCACACTCTTTTTTGCTGTTTCTACGGTTTCCGACACCTCAGGTTGCTGTGGCCATTTTCCCGGACAACTTAGCCAGTCTGGTCCTTTAAACCAAAGCTCTCCCATCTTACAGGGCTCTGTGCCTCTACTTCCTTGGTCACTGGGATTGTCTTTCGTTGGGACATGGTGCCACTCCAGGCATAGCTTGTCTTGTATCACTTCAGTACGGTTTCGAACAAACTGTGACCACGTCCCATGACCTTTAATCCAGTACAGCACTGTAGTACTATCGAAGCAGCAGTGATACTCTTCAACTAGCTGACCTTCCATTACTTCCTTCACATGATTCATCAATTTGCTCAAGG